TTTTTTATTTTTTGGTTTTTCGCCGGGCCTTTTTTTAAACGCCCGCAATAAATTTGCCGGGAATACGTTGTGTATTCGGTAACTTACCGGGAGCTTTAACCGGAACGCCAAACCGGCTAACCCAACCATTTTTAGGATTTGGAAAGGTTCCAACCACTTGTTCGATAGCTTTTTCAACGGCCTTTTTATTTTAATGTTCGCCGTATTTAATAGCACTTAATTGCTTACCCCGAAAAGCACCGGGGTCCTGCCTTTGTTATAGTACTTTTTGTACATATTATTCGCTTTTTTTAGCAATTTTTTGGCTTATTTTTTAATTGCTTCCAAAGCCCCCGCCCTAACTTTAACCGTTGCCGAAAGTTTCTTTTTAATTACCCAAAGGTTATAAAGCTTTCGTAAATAAAACCTTATTAACAAAAACGCTAGGGTTTTTTGCAACCCCAAATGCACGCTCGTATTGTGCACTTACGCTGTTAAATGCAATAGCAACGCCCAATCATTTTGCTTTTCGCAGCAAAAGCACCGGAGGTAATGCTTTACTGCCTGGTTCGTTCGTTCCATTTGCCCGTCGGTTTAAAGGTAATATGCTATCGATAGCTTTTTTGCAACCCTTAAATATCCAGCAAAGGTTATTTAAAACCCGTTTGTAAATAGCTTGTCCCGATTTAATACAATCCTTTCGGGCGTTCCTAGCAACCCTTAAACGTATGCAAACAAAAAGCTTCCTAATTTTTTACTGGTTAATTTCGTAAACGTTGGGATAAAAAAGCTATATTTGGTAAACCGGTCGATTATTATTAATATTGCGTCGCGCTTTTTACCGGCTCCATTTACTAACGTTAAAAGCTTTTCGATAAAATCCATCGATAATTTTTGTTTCGGGCGGTTTGGCACGGGCAAAAATGCTAGCAACCCGTAAAGTGCTTATGTTTTTGGCTTCGTTTGCTAGCATATTTAATACGTCCGTACGTATTTACGTACGTTTTTAGCTATACCCGGCCATTTAAATTGCCGTTTAAACTTTTTTAAAGTTTTAGCTATGCTTTTGTAACCCCCCGTTGGGCTATCGTATTATTCCTAAAGCATTGTTCGTTTAAACGGTATTAAATTCGGAACCCAAACTTTCCCTTTGTGCTTAAACAAACCGTTGTTAATTTCCTAAACGTTAGGCTTATTTTTTTAAATGCCGCTTTAAACGAAATTGTCCTTTGCTTGTGCTTCGAAAATGCGTTTTAATATTATCCTAATGTTCTTTTTAATGGTGGTTGTCCTTACGTAGGCTGTTTTTCGGAATTTGGCCAGCAAATCGTTTCGGAATTTTTTTTTGCTATATTGGCTTCCCCGTTTATTGGTATATTTTAAAAACGTTTTAACAAGCTATCCGCGGGGTTCCGGTATTTTGGCTTCCATTTAATCGTAAAGTCGTACTTTGCTAAGTCCTCGAATTATTTTGCTTAGCGCTTTATTACTTTTTTTTTGTTAAAATATGGGTATGGTTTAAATAATTGGTAATTACCTTAACAATTTTTTATAAATAAGCCAAATAATGCCGCTACTTTTCGAAAGCTTTTATAATCGCTAATAATTTTAAATTAAAAATTGCATAGCGCAATTTTTTTGTCGCAGTTTTTTTAACATGTAAGCCGCCGGGTGCTACCGGCCGTTTTGCAGTTGTAATAGCACCGCCTTTATCGCGAAAGCCAAAGCGTTAGTCCGTACGCACAACGACTTCGAAAGGTTAAAATGCACCAATACCGGAGCTTTCGTAAATAGCAATTTTAATTTGCAAAAAGCCTTTTTCGCAATACTCCTTAAGTAAAATACGGTATTTTTGCTAAAAAAGTCCGTTAAAAGCATAATGATTTTCGCGTAACCCTTTACGAATTTCCGATAATACCCCGTAAAATTGTTAAAAGCACGGGCGAAACCGCCCGGCAAAAAGCGGGGAGCGTTAAATGCACGAGCGAAACCGCCCGGCAAAAAAGGAGGAAGGGGGCGCTGGCAGCCAGCCGGGCACGAACTTTTCGGGGATATGCCGGCGAGCTACCGGTATCGCGGCCAAAGCATAATAGCGAAGCTAAAAGATAAGGTAAAGCTTAAATTGCACGAAAGCGTTTAAAGCGCGAAGGATTAAAAGAACCGATTCCGGGTGCCCGAAAGGGCACGAAAAAAGGGGAAGTTAAAAAAGGAACAATTTTTATTGGCGATAGCACTTTTGGTAAGAAATTTACGGAAGCTTAACAAAAAAAACACCGTATCCGGCCCGTAACCCGGTAATTACCCGCCTTTGCACCAATTAACTTTTAACATATTGTTCCTTTTTTTATACCTTTTTTATTTAAGGAGCAAGCCCGGGTAATTACCGGAAAGGATCGAACAAGTTTAAAAAGGGCATTTGCGACCTCGTACCGTTTACTTAGGGTTAGGGTTAGGGTTAGGGTTAGGGTTAGGGTTAGG